AATAAATTTCAACAGGAGTGGCTCAAAATACATCGTGCATTATAATTGCCATACAGTTTGCAGGCAGGCTCCAAATGTGAACCCGCTCGCAGTCTGTATCGTACTCTCTTTATCCTGATCTTAAGCCTCTTAAAATCAAGTTTGCTAACCGCTGTTTTGGCTTCCTTTTTGTCTTTCCTAACTAGTAATATTTTGTGAATAATTTTTCCCTTTTCTGTTCTTTTGATTGCAGTATACAGTGTTAGGAGTGTAAGGAGAACAATGTAAGAAGCATAAATTTTAATTGTCGCGTGAGAGTACCGTAAGTACCATAACGTAAGTATTGTACCGCAATTTACGCACAGAATTCCTTGTAAGTATCTTTACTGTAGTTTATGTAAGTTTTGTAAGTAGTCCTCTTTGTGTGTTTATAATTAATTAATAAGAAATAAACTAGTAAATAGTATAAGAGAGATGGCGAAAATTTAGACTAACGGTTGGTAAAAGCTTAAATTTTGCTGGTCGCGTTGCTCCAAAATTTCCATGTAGACACATTTACTTTACTAGATCTTCTCAAAATGTACTGTGGGTACTATTTTCAGTTGTTTTGGAGCGCCTTAGCCATCGGTTTAACCCCACTTTCAGGTAAGCGTTGCTTGGTTTTTTCGATAATTCACTTATGAGGCAGAGTATAATCTTGTTAATATTTTGAAACCAAACATGTGACAAGAGGAATGGGATGTTTTTCTATTTGTTTGGAAATCAGGCGAAGTTCTTAAAGACAACTTTGAGCCACTTAGTACATTTGTCAACAATGTGGCAGAAACTGTCCTTAAAATAAGACAGAGAGAATGGTGGCAACTGAATCTTTTCTACACTTGAATAACTATCGGAGGTAGATGAACGATTAACAAGTTAAAAGTACTTTCCTTGAACCATTCATTTCAAGTGACGGCAAGCGAAACTCGTGGGGGTGCTTATACGATTTTTAACGAAGCTTAGAACTTTGAGCCGCATTGTACACTTCCCGAAGAAGACATTTCCCACCTGAGCCCGGATTGGTCTTATTTTAAAAATCCTCGCATCCTCCAACGGGTCTCAAAGCAAAATCA